ATATATATTTATTTACTGATTTCAGAGAGGAAGGGGGAGGGAGAGAAAGACAGAAACATCATGAGGAGAGAGAATCATTAATCAGCTGTCTCCTGCATGCCCCACAATGGGGATGGAGCTGGAAACCCAGCATGTGCCCTGACTGGGAATCCAACTGTGACCTCCTAGTTCATGGGTCTTCACTCAACCATTGAGCCACACCAACCCGGCTTCATATCTTCTTAAAAAGGGAAAGTTTGTCTAGATTGTGAAAAGTTTTAGACTCTTACTTGTTTATCATTGGTTTGTGTTTTTCCAAAACTGTATCCTGCCTTTTTTTTTTAACTTTCTACTATACTTTTTAGAGACTGTGATGATTTGTGGATATAGGTGATTTTTACGTAACTATCCTGTTGTCAAGCCTGGAAAACAAAACATAAAACTTAAAAACACTTTGTTAATCATCCTAAAACTTTTAAAATATTTCAAAAAAATTTCAAAGATATTTTTTTTTTCTCCTTGGGGTTTTTTATATGAAATTATGCCCAATATATGAACAGCATCTTAGAAAATCCTTCTAAAGTCAAACCACCTAGTCAACTGGTCCAGCTAGCCAAGTATGATTCAGTAAATGCTCCTGTGAATTCTTGAGCTAAGAATTAGACATCTTGAAATGCAAAGTTTATTTTAAGTGCAGTTTATACATGATTGACTATAATCTCAAATGAAGATAAGGTATAATTGTCTTAAGGGTGTCATCATCAAAAACAAAATTTTCATTCTTCCTGTAACTTACATGCAATTTTTGCTGCACATGAAATTAAAACTATATATTAGGGAAATGTGCAACTACGTTTTAAATCAAGAATTTGACAGATATATTGTTTGGTTTAAACTTATTTTAACTTAGCATTTACTTTTTATTGAATTTATTGAGTGACATCTATTTTCTATGTATATAAAAGCCTAAGTAACCTTTACGACTGAATGACCGGAACAACCAGTCGACCAGTCGCTATGATGCGCACTGACCACCAGGGGGCAGACGCTCAACTCAGGAGCTGCCCCCTGGTGGTTAGTGCGCTCCCACAGCCAACCTCCCATGGCCCCTCCCCCCAGCCAGCGGGGGGGCAGGGGGGTATAGGCCTCAATTGTCGGCCAGGCTGAGGGACCCCACCCTTGCACGAATTCGTGCACCAGGCCTCTAGTTGGTTAATAAAATTATATAGGTTTCAGGTATGCAGTTCTATAATACATCATCTGTATATTGTATTGTGTGTTTAGCACCCCAAGTGGATTTTGCATCTAAAATCTTTAATCATTTTAAATGTAAATGTTCTTTAATTGTCTATGAAATCAATGTTGGATCTTGGCTCTCCAAGTCTTTTCTAAGTTTTTCTTATGTGTGAATATCCTCAGACCTCTTATGACAAGATATTTTAATTTCTAATTGTTAAGTGGATACATAGAAAACTTAAATTTATTCACATGAGAGCCTTTGAATACAAATACTATGTAATTGTCTCTTGGTGAATCATTCCTCACTAAAAGTTAATATTTCTCTGTTCTTCCCTTTGCATGAAATCTTTTAAGTGATTTTTAAGGATATCCTATACAAACTACTGACCTAGTCCTATGTGAACTTTTATTTAAATAAAACTGGCACAATTGGTTTTTAAATAATAATAATCAACAGTTAGCATTTGAGCCTATCATTCCTTAGTTAGGAGAACTTCTAAGGAAATCCTATTTTTTATGGTTTAATTACAGCTGGACTAAGAGTATATGTTATGTTTTAGTTCCAAATAAAGTGGGGGTAGGGGAAACAGAAATATTCATTGAGGTTTTACTTCTCCTGAGGAGCTATTTTTTAAGACCATACTATTCTAGTTTGTTTTTTTAGGTAAAGTCAGACTACTGTTTAGGGCCGATAGAATTCTACTAGTCTTCTATTCTACCAATAGAAGAAAAAAATTTTACTTTTACCTTAAGTTAATGATACGCAAATTGATTTGAAAAGTTTGGTAGTTGTCTTATATAGTCTTGCAAAAGTGAATAGACTATGTTTCTTAGTTGTACTTTTAAATTCGTGTTTGAACAATAGTTGTTTTAGGGCTCTGCATTCTTTAATAATAAAAATCAAGAAAAATCATTTGAGAACAAGTTCCAAAGAAACAAAATTTTATGTATGGAAGTTTGATTTAAATGAGGTTGGTAAAAGTGGATTCAAAATACAAAATAATATAATGCCCTTAGGTTGTCAGTTGAATATATAAAACAAATCTTTAATCACTTTGGGAAATGTTTTTATTATATAAATTTTTCTCTCTTGTAGAATTTTGCCTTGAAAAAATATAAAAATGCTGCTCTGGGAGGGCATGAATTTTGAACATGGAGAGTTTTTGTTTTTTGTTTTTTAAACTTGGTTGTCACTTAGATTTTACTTTGTGCTACTCTAGAGTGGCCATTAAAACATTTTTTTTCTATTACTTGCTGTTCTTGATTGGCAGCAAATTGAATTTATTTATACATTTATAAAAATATACAAGATTACTTTAATTTTTGTTTTAAAATTTAATTTTTCTGACAGTTGATAGAATACCCTGGGGAAAAACTAAAAAGGAGGCAAGTAATAACTTTTTTCTTCTAAACAGACTTTACAGGAAAAAAAGAACATACACGTAACCCTGATATAATTCATTTAACATGATTAAGACTCATGATTCCATTCCCCTGATATAACCACTCTTTAAATTTTTAAACCAAATTCCAAACTAATCTATTAGTTTAAAAATATTTAAGACATTAAGTAATTTAGGAAAGCAGTTAGAATGAATGAAATGATTTCTAGATACTACTTAATTTTGCTTCGAATGTTATATAATAAGTTGGTATTTTAGAATTAATTTATATCTATTTTTTTCCACTGGGGACATTGTATTTATTTGATTTTGTAAGCCTGGCCTGATAGTATGCCTAGACAGAAGTCCAGGGCCCTGTGGAGGGGACGCATTTCCTGGAAGAATTCTCTGTTGTATATGGAAAAACCCTAGCTCAGAGTAGAATTCTTGCCAAATTGTCATAAGCTATTAGATTCTAGTTTAATACTATGTTGCTTTATATCACAACTATCTTTTTTCACATTGGTTTCCATAGTCTTAAAATACTTGAGGGTCTACTTGAAAGGTGAATTAAATATTTTGTTAATTTTACAAAACATTTTCTTATACCTAAAACTAGAGACCCGGTGCATGAAATTTGTGCGGGGCGGGGGGGGGGGGGGGGAAATCCCTCAGCCCAGCCTGTACCCTCTCAAAATCTGGGACCCCCCGGGGGGATGTCTGCCCTGTACCCTCTCACAATCTGGGACCCCTCGGGGGGATGTCTGCCTACCCAGAACCCCTCAGGGGATCTCCCCCTGGGGATCAGCCTGAGCTGGCAGGCAGACATCCCTCTTGCAGTCCGGGATCCCACTCACAGTCCGGGATCCTTACCGCACACCTGCTTGCTGCTCCTTAGTGCTGCCGAGGAGGCGGGAGAGGGGTGAACCTGGCTTCTGGCTGAGTGGCGCTCCCACACTGACCACCAGGGGGCAGCTCCTGCGTTGAGCGTCTGCCCCCTGGTGGTCACTGTGCATCATAGCGACTGGTCGTTCTGCCGTTCAGTCGATTTGCATATTAGGGTTTTATTATATAGGATTATATAGGATTAGGACCTTAAGTAACTTGGAAGTTTTTTTTTCTTTGTTGTTGTTTGTTTGTTTTAATGGATAAGGAGAAAAAAGACAAGTGATAGTTCTGTTTTGGTAAAACTAAAAAGATAATTTACTTAAGAATATTATCCTTGCCCTGACAGGTTTGGCTCAGTGGATAGAGCATCGGCCTGTGGACTGAAGGGTCCCAGGTTCGATTCCAGTCAAGGGCATGTGCCTTGGTTGTGGGCGTGTCTCCAGTGGGGGGTGTGTAGGAGGCAGCTGGTCGATGTCTCTCTCTCATCGATGTTTCTGACTCTCTGTCCCTCTCCCCTCCTCTCTGTAAAAAATCAATAAAAATATATAACAAAAAAAATTAAAAAAAAAAAAAAAGAAAGAAAAGAATACTATCCTTTCCAAACCTGTTTAGTCTCATTTTTTTGGGAGCTGAGCAACATTCACCAGAGATTCCTACTTCTATTTCAGTTGTATAAGATACTTAATAGACCCTCATTCTTGGCTCAATAATAAAACATGTGAGAAAGAATATTGTGTTGTTTTTCAACCATAATGGTTATGCTGTTGGGATACATGAACAGCCTTTCTGTATTTGGAGTTTCTGTAGTTTTCTGTCATTGTCTGTTCATATTGACTTTCTTTGGCTACCCATTGCTTAAAATAAATACTTGAGATTTAGCAAAACTGTGTCATACAACCAATGTTTTCTCTTATTTCTTTTTGTTGTTGTTAAACATATTTTTATTGATCTCAGAGAGGAAGTAAGAGGGAGGGAGGGACAAAAACATCAATGATGAGAGAGAGAGAGGATCATCATTCGGCTGCCTTCTGCATGGTCCCATACTGGGGATCAAGCCCAAAACCCAGGCATGTGCCCTGATCACGAATCAAACCATGACCTCCTGGTTCATTAATTGATGCTCAACCACTGAGCCATGCTGGCTGAGCATCAAGTTAGTGTTTTTATTTTCTTCAGCTAAATACCCAGAAGTGGAATTGTTGGATATTTTTAATTGTGGATTTCATTTTTTTTAAATAGTTACAGTCCTTCTCAGATATTTAAATGTAAGTTCATTCAGAGATAATAGTTATTAATTTATTAAGTGAATTTATCATTTGAACTTTAACAAAGCTACAACATTTTGAGCTTTAAAAACTTAATGTTAGGTATCACTTAGGTTTTTTTTAACTGTGATAAAATATACATAATGTTAAATTTACCATTTTAGCAGGTTTTTTTGTTGTTGTTAATCCTCATCCAAGGATATTTTTTCCATTGATTCTTAGAGAGAATGGAAGAGAGGGACAGAGGGAGGGAGAGAGAGATTTATGTGTGAGAGAGAGATTGATGTGAAAGATCACACCAGTTGATTGGTTGCCCACTGCACACATCCCAACTGGGGTCTAGGGGATCGAACTTGGCAACCCAAGTATGTGCCCTTGACTGGGAATCGAATCCTCCACTCTTCAGTGTGTGGGCCAAAGCTCTAACAACTGAGCACACTAGCCAGGGCCCATGTTAGCAGTTTTTAAGTGTACAGTTCATAGTATATAAGTACTACATTCACATTGTTGTGCAGCTAGTCTCCGGATCTGTTTTCAGCTTGCAAAACTGAAACTATACCCATTAAGCATCAATTCCCCATTCTCCTTTTCCCCCAGTCCCTGGCAACCATCCTTCCACTTTGTAGTATTAATAATAGGAATCATACAGTGTGTTTCTGTGACTTATTTCACTTAGTATAAATCTACAAGGTTCATCTATGTTGTAGCATGTGTCAGAATTTCATTTCTTTTTAAGGCTAGCTAATATTCCATTGTACGTATATACCACATTTTGTTTATTGGACATTTATTTGGACATTGAAGTGGCTTCCATCTTTTGGCTATTGTGACTAATGCTGCTGTGAGCATAGGTGTATAATGATCTCTTCAACACCCTGCTTTCATTGTTTTTTGGTAGATACCCAGAAATAGAATTGCTGAATCTTATGGTTATTCTCTTTTTAATGTTTTGAGGAACCACCATATGGTTTTCCAAAGCAACTGTACCATTTTACATTTCTGCCAACAGAGGACTTTTCATATTTTACATATTTTTGTGTGTAAGTAAGCTATATATATCTTTTTCATCAAACCTATAAATTTATTAACACTGTTTATAACGTCTTCAGTATCTGTAGTTATATGATCCCCACACGCTTACATTGATTATTTAAGTCAATTCTCCTATTTTAAAAATCAGTATTGCCTGGGATTTATAGATTTTATTTATCTTTTCAAATAATTGATTCTGTGCTTTGCTGATACTTTTTATTGTATATTGTTTTTATTTTGTTCATTTATTCTTATTCTACTCTCTGAGTTTGTTTTGCTCTAGGTATCACACTCTTTGGATCTGATTTGTGTTTGTACATGTTCTCCTGAGTTTGTGTGATTGCTCTCCCTTCTTTCTACCCCTTCCAAAACAATTTTCCAGGAGCACCCAGGGTTTTGTTTGTTTATATGTATGTTTGTTTTAATAAGGAGAATAAATTGGGGAGGAAAGAAGTAGGGATGCTAGAAATTGTTATCTTTCATCAATAGGCTTTGGCCCCATTACCCGATTTACTTAAAGTTCTAACATACTCTGATTGACAAGATTATCCAATGCAGTCTGTAACAGTGTTATTTCCCCCCTTCTGTTGCAGGACCCGTTGGGGCCCAGCCCCTACTCATGGTGCCCAGAAGACCTGGCTATGGCACCATGGGCAAACCCATTAAATTGCTGGCTAACTGTTTTCAAGTTGAAATCCCAAAGATTGATGTCTACCTCTATGAGGTAGATATTAAACCAGACAAGTGTCCTAGGAGAGTGAACAGGTAAGAATCATGAAGCATGGAGATTTTTTGCTGTTGGTATTTGTCTTTGCCATAATAATTGCTTTTCTTGTATATCCAAATAACAATGATAATGTCTAGCAGTTTGACTAAGAACACATGGTAATTTGTTTTGAAATTGATTGTACTTCAGAGATGTGTTAGTAGGTAAAATCTTCTAATAGCCCTGAAAATTTTCCATTGTAACATGAATATTCTCTCTGTGATGATAAAAAAGGTCCAAGTCATCTTAAGATGTTTTTGAAATCAGGCTGAGCAGTTTTTTCCTTTGCTTTTAGGTACTATATCTTTTATCTCCCCACCCCACCTTATTTACCCTTTTCTATTGTTTTCTTTAAGATGATAGTAGTGGTAAAGATGGTGTTTGTCATGGCTTCATGCTTTCTGTTCTCCTGATCCTCAACTCCTAACTGTTTCTTAATCTTATATAGGAACAAGTACATATAGTATGTAAAGGATTTTCAATCTGCTCTCAGTAAGTTTCTTCTCTCACATTCCCCAAATACTCTATATGTCTGTATGTGTGTATGGCTGTAGTTTAGGTAATACAGGGAATATAAAAGGAAATTATGATGTAGTGTAACCCCATAAAGAGGTTTAAAAAAAGAAGACTCATGTATAAAACATTTAGAAAACAATGATACTCAATATTTTGGTTTGTAATATCAAATACCCCAGGCTTTTCTTATTCAATAGCTATTATTAAGAGCCTTCATTTAAGACATAGGTGAGTACACCTGAAACTTATCTAATGGTGTAAATCAATGTTACTTCAATTTTTAAAAAAAGATGTAGATGGTTCTTTCTGTCAAGAAATTTGTAATTTAGTGGCGATAAGACACATAAGACATATGAAGTGAATGAGTACTAAGAAAGTTTGTGACAATGTAAAAAAAAATCATATGAATGTTATAATTAACATGTAATGCAGAGTTCTTTCTGAGGTCAGGAAGGGAATTGTGGTTAATCATCACCCAAGAATGTTTTTATAATTTTAGAGAGAGAGAGAGAGAGAGAGAGAGAAACATCAGTTGCTTCCCCAGACTGGGGATTGAGCCCTGGACCCTTTGGTGTATAGGATGACATTCCAACCAACTGAGCCACACTGGCCAAGGCTGATAACCTTTTTAATAGCTGAAATCCAGAAAGGTTAAGAGGCTAACTCAAGAGCACACATTTTGGTAGCAAAAGTTAGAACAGAACTCTGGAATCCTGACTTGATAGTCAGTAAAAAGTATTTGTAAAGCAAGAAGAAAAGGAATTGAGTTAATCTAAAACAGTTGGAAGGATTGTGGATAACTATAGTAAAAAGAACACCTTTTAATGATGAGGCAGCACTATTGATGGATGAATAAAGAAGAAGATAGATAGATAGATAGATAGATAGATATAATAGACTACTACTTAGCCATAAAAAATACTACATTCTTGCCATTTGTGACAACTTGGATGGACCTGGAGGGAATTTTGCTAAATAAATCAGACATAGAAAGATAATTACCATATGATTTCACTTCTATATGGAATCTAAAACTAGCATAAATCAACTTTATACTTTATTAATAATAATGACTTGATTTTAAATCAACATCTGGAAAACTTACTCCCCTTATTTTCTTCAAAATACTAGCTTTTGTCTTAACTTTTTTGCACTATTACTACATAACTAGTCAGTTAAGGTTGTTGGTTGGCTTCTGAAATTAGTTTAGTTCTTACACTTCAATAACTAGAATTCTGGAATTTAAAAGGAACTAGATAGAACTTTACAATTCCTTTTCAATATTACCTAAACAGTTATGGGCCAAAATGCAGCAGTATTTAAATAAACACATATGAGGTTTCTCTTGTCTACATGCCACAAGCTCAGATATTTGACACTATGGCATTAATGATAATAGCAGAATGATGTGTTGTAGCAAAACAAATTTTCACTTTAGTTAGAGGAGTTTTCTTGGACAAAAATTCTTGTGAGTCTTTTTGTGAGTCAAGTTCTCTACTTTAGACTTTGTCTATTGGTTTTCTTTTCCTTTCCTCATCCCTTTGGGTGTGTGTATGTGTGTCTTTTTTTTTTCCTTCCTATTTAATGATTTTGATTGAAAATGATCATTTGGTCACAGAGCATGTTTGTTAAGCAGCTTTCAAATGTTTCTAGTTTTTTTTAAACAAGTGAATGCTCTCAATAACTAAAAATAAAATATTTTTAGAAATAACATGACCTAGAGTATAAGTTCTGTAACTAGAGATTTTATGCGAGTTTGTCCAGCTACTAAATATATATGGGGATAAACCTTCAGTAGAAAGTTATGCACTTATTTAGAATCATGGTATAATGAAATACTTTGGAAAAATTGTATATACAGCATGATTGTAACTAGAGGGTAGGGGGCAGGAAGAGAATAATCAAAGAACTTATATGCAGATATGTATAACCCATGGACACAGACAATAGTCAGGTAAAGGCCTCTGGATGGGGCAGGGGTTGGGTGGAGGGCATCAGTGGGGGGGGAGTATATACAGGATTGTAACTAGAGGGTAGGGGGCAGGAAGAGAATAATCAAAGAACTTATATGCAGATATGTATAACCCATGGACACAGAAGACAATCAGGTAAAGGCCTCTGGATGGGGCAGGGGTTGGGTGGAGGGCATCAGTGGGGGGGGGGGAGGGGACATCTGTAA